TCCCAAAAGTTCCCTATAGTTCCTGACAGACCCCGACAGTCCCCGATACTTTCCGATAGTTCCTGACAGTTCCCGAAAGCTCCCGATAGTTTCCGACAGTTGTGTTGATCCTGATAACCCTGATATTCAAGATGGTTACAGATAGTTCCTGAAACTTCCGTTAACGCAGCAACGAAGACGTGTTAATGTCTTACATCGGCACGCTACCCTGCAATATGTAGGTTCTGAATAAATACACAAACAACACACCTATATGCCACATTTATCCCCGGCTCGTGTACAGTCATATATCTTTCCAGTTGTCCGATGAAACAGCTGTCAGATCAACCACAATGGCGGTTTTATAGCAAAAGCTGCAAACACATCGACTTTATTAATATAAATTTAATAAAAAGGGCTCTACTAGACCGTAACTTCAAATATTCGGAGTTATTATGTTTTAAAAATGGAAATAAACTGGAATGTATAGAATTACGGGATCGGGCAGTCAGGCTCACTGACTTGATTCATGCATACCATCGTATTCCAATTGCGTGGATCGATGCTCATAATGTCAATCACTGGATTGTCTGGTCCAGACTCGATTATTTACAGACCACCGTCATACATCTGGAATATTGCTGATTGCGGCGTTAAACAACAAAGAAACTAAACAAATCCTATAGAAAGGTTTGGCAGAGCGTGTGTGAGGAGCGATTTTTCCGCTTTCCATCGCATATGCAAAATGATTTCAAATGTTAATTGCGTAAATACAGCTTGTTTGTTTCTTCCCCTGGTGGTTCAACGTTCTCCTTCTACTAGTCAACTACTCGCTGTGGAGACGGGTAGCCTGGATGTTTAAGTCAAACTGTTCGCTCGTCTTAACGAAGACCCGGGTTCGATTTCCTACCTGGGTACAATGCGTGAAGTCCATTATAGTGTCGGTCCGCCATGATATGACAGGAATATTCTAAAGCGGCGTATAACCTAATTCACCAAGTCATTTACTCTTTCTTCTGTCGCTATGAATTACAAGAGACAGAGACCCTATTTGAACGCAGCTGTCTTTACAACTAGCGGAAAAGTGTTGTGTCGTGAATCCTACTGCAGCGTGGTGAAGATATCGACTATATATTCACGCACACAGAAATTCCTCTGTTACAACTTTCATTAGATCGAAACAATGGCTAATTCGCGAGTACATTCTTCAACAGTCTTATTACATTCATAAAACTATAATTAATATAAACTGTTTATATTAATTTAATTTTCAATTTTTCAAATTTTTATTTTTTTAATTTAATTTTATTTTATTTTTTTTATTTATTTTTTTTTTATTTTTTATTTTTTGGGGGGGGTACGTTAAGAAATTTAGATTATTAGTAGATTATTATTATTACTTAATGTTAATCTCCGGCAGAAATATCTAGCAGTAAGTGAAAATTATATTTTGGACATACCAAATTATTTTGAGTGCATGAGAGTAAATTTTTCCAGTAATATCATGGCGAGGCCTTATAACACATGTGGGGAGTCGAACCAGGATCTTCAGCGTGGCGAGCGAAAGCTTTAACCACAAGGCTAACTACAGTCCCCTCCGAATAAATTTTAATGAATTGTTGAACTTAGTTTTTTACAAGGAACTCAAAGAAATGTTGTTGTTTTCAAAATAGGTGTGTCAAATTATTACTTGCCCTTCTCGGGGCGGGAAAAGAATGACTGTGTTACTGACGACTGCTAAATATAGTGACCCAAATGTACGTCATATCAGTCAACTCGGATACTTGTGATGACGGTACTAGTCCATGGTTGGAGCAAAGATAAATGTAGACACTGATACAAACGTATACGAACACGGTCCAACCTTTGCTCCCCTACACAGCTGTGTATCGGTGTCATGCGAAATGTTTTCAGGGATTGTATCAAAAGTTTGAATATCATTTCTATATCTAATCTCATCAGTCTCCATCGCGGATCGGGTGGTCAGACTTGCTGAGTTGGTTTATGCATGTCATCGTATTCCGGTTGCGTGGATCGATGCTCATGATGTCAATCACTGGATTGTCTGGTCCAGATTCGATTATTTACAGACCGCCGTCATATAGCTGGAATATTGCTGAGTGTAACGTTAAACAACAAATAAACAAACAAACAAACAAACAATTTCCATCCTTGTATTTAAAGGAAATATATTCACGTCAATCAATATAATGCTGAATGTTGAAAATATGGGGACGGAATGGATAAGGAAATAGTTATTTCCCATAACAATTAGGAAGGTGGTATCTGTTTATCATATCTCTTGATCATTTCCTTGGGGGCGGTCGGGTAGCCTAGTGGTTAAAGCGTTCGCTCGTCACACCGAAGACCCGGGTTCGATTCTCCACATAGGTACATTGTGTGAAGCCCATTTCTGGTGTCCCCCGCCGTAATATTGCTGGAATATTGCTAAAAGCGGCGTAAAACCATAATCACTGTCATTTCCTTTAAATCGATGTGAAGATATATGGTGCTGACACACCATGGACTCAGCGGATCCTTGTTTTAAGAACAACTGCCCCCCCCCCCCCCCCCCTGGAAAACAAGGTACACAACTCCACACTACGAAGAATTGTGGCGTCTGAGAAAAAGGAAATCTATTTTTACATTTTTTGTCACCTGAAATTGATCTAATTACTGATTACTAGATTACTGATATATGTAACAACATTTTGAAATTAATATTAAATTTTGTAAAGTGAATAATAAGAGGGTAAGAGGGTATTGAATGTTCTGTAAACCTCTTGGGAATTATTTTTCTATGAATAACTCGGCTTTTCATTGGTCGCCGGTATTACATTTCATTCGTTCTTTATTTAAGCCTCTCATCCACGTGCTAGTATGGAATGAGACGTCGCATTATTCTAGACTCTGATTCCAATTAATGACTTGTTCATGTTGGAAAACTGTAACGTTACGTCAACACACGTGGTCCACTTCAACTGACATTCTCGCACTCGTCGATGTTGACGATGTTATTAAAAAAAATATTTATTTATTTATTTATTTATTTATTCCATTTTCCATCATATTTTACATTTCAAAAATCATACATAGAGTGTGCATGGATTTATTGTGACATTATTGGCATGTTTGTAGCATGGACAGATCAGATATCATAGTTACGCAGGGTTTCTAAATAATACATGCAGAGAAGAACAGAAGGCATGGAAACTTGCATAATTACAATTTGAATATGCAATCCATTTTGTAATTTCATAATATCAAAGTATTTCTTTTTGAACTAGTAAAAATATTGTTTTACTTTTTTCTATTAAATGTGTACAGCATAGATTTTGTTACCAAAATTACAGCATTGAGTGAATTGTTATTCTTCTCTTTAAATCTAAACAGTATGTGTTCATTACTAAAATTAACTCTGGTGGTATAGTTTCCAAGACAATCTGAAAATTTCATCCATATATCAGAAACGTAATGACAGTTACATAATACATGAGTAATTGTTTCAGATGGTAGGTCTTCAGCAACCCACGCTTGTATATACCCGTAAAGATTCCGGTTAGAATAGGTCTTTATAGCGACCCATACTTGTCGCAAAAGGCGACTATGCTTGTCGTAAGAGGCGACTAACGGGATCGGTTGGTCAGGCTCGCTGACTTAGTTGAAGCATGTCATTGATCCCAATTACGTGGATCGATGCTTATGATGTCAATCACTGGATTGGCTGGTCCAGACTCGATTACTTACAGACCGCCATCATATAGCTGGAATATTGCTGAGTGCAGCGTTAAACAACAAACGAACAGATGGTTCTTTACATAATGAACAAACTAGTGAGTCAACATATCCAGTTTTAAATAAATAACAGTTAGTACTTAAAATATTATGTAACTTGATATAACTTTAAACGGAAACCATCTTAATTCAGAACTTTGTGTACATATTTTTGCCATAAGGCTAAAGTTTTTCCACTCTGTATCTGTACACGTATACTTTTTTTTCAACTGAGTGCGGCGTTAAACAACAAACAAACAAAACAAACTGATCACATACGCCAGTCAGTCAATTGTTCCATCGCCTGTTGAGTTACTAACAAAGGAATAATGCGGCTTATTTAAATAGTTTTAATTTCTTTTTCCAAACAATAGGATCGGTTCTCGAAATATATTTATAAGAATTGCAAATATTTGATTTAAATGACCCTTATGAAACAAAGCCTTAATTACGGTTGTTTGTTTGTGGTTTGTTGTTTAACGCCGCACTCAACAATATTCCAGCTTTATGAAGGCGGTCTGTTAATAATCGAGTCTGGACCAGACAATCCAGTGATTGACATCATGAGCATCGCACCACGCAATTGGGATACAATGACAAACATCAACCAAGTCAGTGAGCCTGACCACCCGATCCCGTTAGTCGCCTCTTACGACAAGCATAGTCGCCTTTTACGGCAAGTATGGGTCGCTATGTAGACCTATTCTAACCGGAATCTTTACGGGTATATACATTTTGAAACTATTGTTGTTTTAAATTGTTGTTAAATTTTGATTCCGTAATACAGACCTGTCAACCCCTCTTCATGACAATGTGAGAGATTTGATTTCAAAATTTGGAGATTTACCTCCAAAGGGGGAGATTTTTAAAATAGTGAAGATAAGAGAATTTCTATTACTTATAGACGAAGTGATCGTGAAACATAATCACACTCTGCCGTGGAGAGGTTTAAAAACGTGTTTCCATTCATACTCACAACCAGGTGACCCCCGACAGCCAAGGGACGCAACTCCAATCAAATTACAACATCGGTGCTCCCTTTACATGTACATTTATTTTTCATATTTGTAGCACATATATCCATTGTTCAGCAATTTACATTTCCACTGCTGCAAAATCAAAACAACAAAAATCACACTTCCGCAATTTTCATTTCGAGATACGACCTTTCATTTCCCCGTGAGGGAAGTCTTTCTCATTACACGTTTGGGGAAATCCGTTTTAGTTACAATTTAGAGTTACCTCCCTTATAATTATGGCCTACGGAAAGTGAAGCGCTCTAGCGCTCGGCATTCAAGATAAGTACATATGTCTTTAAACGTCAATGCAAAATGACAACGTCTGCTCGTAGATTCATGTATGATTGTCCGACGAAATGACAACTGAATCTGGGAAACACACCCCGGGATCTGACAAAAGTGCGGAAAACGACAACCTCGGCCAAGTAAAAGCCGGACACATAAACAATAATAACCGGACGCAACAGTTGAAAGATGACGTCTTCAACTTCATTGATGCCAACATTCGAGGAATAAGAGTAAGTTCAACTAAAGATCTTATATATAATTTATCAAGAATGACAGTGTGTAGATCTATATACGGACGCAATAGCTATTCAGTATGGTTGAGACCCGTGAAGATCCGGGGTAGAATAGATCTTCAGCACCCCATGCTAAGGTCAGGCTCGCAGGCTTGGTTGATTCATGTCATCGTATCGCAATTGCGTGGATCTATGATCATGATGTTAATCGTTGAGTTCTTAGACTCGATTATTTACAGACCGCATTCATATAGCTGTTTCTGACTCGATTATTTCCAGTCGCTGTCGTATAGCTGGAATATTGCTATGGTTGTATGTCCGATTTGGTTTTGATAGGACTAAAATTCGCCAAGATTGAACCTTACTTAGTCTGCCAGCACCTTATCATAAGGCTTATGTACCCGAATGTCGTGGGTTTACACACCTGAAGTAGTTTACACCCTTTACAGGGGTGGTCGGGTAGCCTAGTGGTAAAGTGTTCGCTCGTCACTCTGAAGACCCGGGTTCGATTCCCGACATGTGTACAATGTGTGAAGCCCATTTCTGGTGTCCCCCACCGTGATATTGCTGGAATATTGCTTAAAGCGGCGTAAAACCATATTCACTCACTCACCCACTACACCCTTCACACAATGGGCTTTACTTTCAGTGACAGTCATCGTATCAACCCAAATGAATAGAGAATCTCACCCGAGTGTCTTTTGATATCAAATATATCAATACGAGTTGATAAAAGTGGAAAATATCAAACTTGAGCTTTTCCACTTTTATCAACAAGTATTGATATATTTAATTTCAAAAGACACAAGGGTGAGATTTTATTTATCATCCCAACATCATTCTTCCAACTTTTTCAGTTCGTAGACAGTAATAAGAAGTGTCTTCAGTGTAATAGTACTGCTAACAACTTCAGTTGCAGAGCCATTAGTGATGTCATTTGATTGTGACGTCATGGTAACCAATGACATCACAATGGTCTGCAAAGCAATTTCATTGCAGCGATATCTATAATGTAAATATTGCTTGATCTCATACAAGCGATATTTCCTGTGGGAGCCAGTTTTGGATGACAAATAATATTATTGAATAGTAGGTACTATACCTGGTATTATTCGAGATAACATATACAATATTTTATTGTCCCCTCCAAGTGAGACTTTAGCACGTATATTCTCTAGCAATGGGAGTACCTTAAGATAGACATGAGCATGCTTAAGAACGCAAAATAATTTACTAGCATCCACGCCATTTGATACACTATTGCAATGAATGAAGCCCCATAAAATCGTGTATAGTTCATTTGATTCGCATGTTTATCGCCATTGTATCCGAATATGAGCATTTCTGTACGTTAAACCCCATCATCAGCGAAGTGATTAAGGAAAGGGATGCAGGTTGTTGACATGTATCTTTGTGGAGTTCAATACCATGGAATGGTGCTGACAGACCAAGAAGTATCTTCGGTGATAATTTGGGTTTTGCATCCACAACCAGCAAATCATCAAAACTAAGGGAGGCAGCTCTTGATTGGTCTGTTGGTTTGTTTGTTTGTTTGTTTGTTTGTTTGTTTGTTGTTTAACACCATACTCAGCAATATTCCAGCCTTGACAGCGATCTGTATATAATCGAGTCTGAACCAGGCAATCCAATGTTTGACATCATGATCATCGATCTACACAATTAGGATACAATGACCTGCATCAACCAAGTCAGCGGCCCAATCCTGTTATTTGCCTCTTGCAACAAGCAAAGTCGCCTGTTTACAGCAAGTATGGATTGCTAAAGACCTATCCTACCCCGGATCTTCACTGGTAGGTGTGTTGGTGAAAAGACCAATGTGGAGAGGCCGTTGATGTTTATTAATTTGTGATGTATTTGATATTGTGACATATTCTTTCAAAATATGTAAATGCTATTGATACAAGGTGCTGCAATTACTGCGGAAAAGCAATTTTCTGGACAGAGTTGCATCCTTAAAAAAACAATGATCGTGTGTTCGAATCCCAGATTCGCCTTGATAATATTACAGTGTTAGCTCGTGGGTTTCACCGAAGTAGTAACCGAAGCACCTGGATCAAGATGACTGGTCATGATATAACTGAAATACATTTCAAAAGTGGCATCAAACTCACCTCTTTTCCTTTTCTTATAGCTGCGACTCTCTGTCTCTTGCAGGGGAAATAACTCACTAATATCTGTATAATTACCTGTTTCAGTATTCTATATATGGAGTGGGTGTTGTCGGAGTCATCCTCATCGTCAGGTCGACCAGAGCTGTAAGTTCAGCATTATTCAATTGTTAGAACTTTATTTGAGTTTATTTTAATTTTGAGAGTTTATTTTGTTTGTTTGTTGTTTAACGCCACACTCAGCAATATTTCAGCTATATGACAGCTGTGTGTAAACAATCTGGACCAGACAATCAAGTGATTGACATCCTGAGCATTGATCTGTGCAATTGGGATATGATAACATGTATTAACCAAGTCAACAATCCTGTTAGTCGCCTCATGACACAAGACTGGTGATAGTTCAATGCAGTGTTGAGCAATATTACAGCAATAGAAACTAACGTTTTTGGTCCACTAGTCCTTATGATGATAATATATAGCAAAACCCTTAAAAATGGCAATTTTCTACTAGTCCTTATGATACCTTAACTATTGGGCAGTTTGGCAAGTACTATAGGGCTAGTGCCAATTTCTAACCCTGAATATTGTCGTACAAACATGGGTTGCTGAAGACTAATTCTGAGAGGGACATATATTTGCTTTGAGCTGTGAGACCAAAGAATGTGCTTCTAGTAGAGAAGTAGTTACAATAGAGGATCCATGAGCCAGCGACATGAAATGCTTGGTTTTCGTATATTTATCTGCACTTCGTTTCGAAGTATGTAAGGCTGTCCATATTGTATCTGATTTCTCATCTCCATTCTGACGTAAAAAAAATATATAGTTTTCGTATCTCCAGCAGCTGTGAAAAATAGAACACTGATCAGATAAAAATATTGCTATTACAATTGCACAGTCATAGAAAAAAACAATGTGAACTTTATCTTTCTTCAGATGTTTATTAAAAATCCTTTTCTGAAGCAAAGGGACTTGATCTACGTCATAAATGGTTTTAGAGACTGGTACCAAGTGTTAAATTAAGCTTTAAAATGTCATAAAATACTTTGCACAATTATTGAAATTGTTTTTTTAAATATAAAAACATAGTTTATTTAGCCCGCCCGCTCTCTTTGTTGGATAGGGGCGATCAGGTAGCCTAGTGGTTAAAGCGTTCGCTCGTCACGCTGAAGACCTGGGTTCGATACCTAACATGGGTACAATGTGTGAAGCCCACTTCTGGTGTCACCTGCCGTGATATTGCTAAAAGCGACGTAAGACTCACTCACTAACTCACTCACTCACTCACTCACTCACTCACTCACTCACTCACTCTTTGTTGGTTGAGTTAAGAGATGAGAAAGACATAAAAAAACATGGATGACCTTATGCAAATGATACTTGGGCATTGCTACTGGGCAATGAAAAAGGGTGACACGGATGCAAAAAAATCCCCTTCTGTTATGATCACTGGACAATATTTGTTACCATTACCAGGGTTTAGACGATTGATGTCATCCAGATTCCAACACAACAAGTAAAACACTGTTGAAATCACTGATTGACGTGGATAGTTTGAGAAATATTATTCATGAACTGCAAATATACCGTACACCTCCTGATAACGTTTGGTGCTGTGATACACATTATGTTGAATGTTTTAATGACACTGCTTTGATTTCTTACGACAAACTCATCCAGAGAATACAAGCGCAGGACTCATTTGTGTGTGTTGGACTGGAATGAAAACACGTCGTTGACATTCAATGGTGACATTTTATAAAGATATGATGACAACATAGCAGGAAGGTTTTGAAACAAAGACCTACGCGTTTGTTTAAAAAAAATTGAATTATTTGATTGATAACTATTACCATTAATGATGAGTATCACATGTCACAAGTTTACATCCTTGTTGTCGAACGGCCCACATGGGTGGGTGTTTACATGTCATGTCACGTCACACGTTGTTGCACGTTTACGTATTAACTAGGGCTGGGACGAGTCCAAATTTACTACCCGGGTACCCAACCCCCTATTATCCGACCCTACCCGGGTACCCACTGTAGGTCTCAGGAGTTGGGAACACAATGTCTAATTGGGAATAGTTTAACTGTAGCCCTGGCAAAAACTGTTTAGACACATGTATGAAACCAGAGACAATATACTGGATATATGGTCTCTTATGAAACGATCGAATCATGCATACACTGAAGTTGACTGAAGCTTTATCTTTACTCAAACATATACAAGTCAAAGGAATGTGTGCCTCATCATAAAGAAATGGGAACATTAGCAACTTGTAGTGTAAGCACTGAGCTCCAGTGAGGTTTTGTCATTAAACAATATGTCATGTGACCAACCACGGGTCCGGGTAGTACTGTGGGTACCTGGGTCCTACTCAGGACCCACCGAAACCGAGTTACCCGGCCCAGCCCTAGTATTAACCAATGAAATTTGGGTGTTCTCATGATGTCATTTTGAGCTGTCATAAATATATTCTCACTCACTCACTCACTCTTCATTTTCAGACCCATGTATTCTGTAACGTCTCCGACATCCCCAGCATCTACGTGTCCCGCAACATCGTCCTGCAGGGCCGGGTCAACAACATCGGGCCAGACTGTTGTCTCCACGTCACACACCATCCAGTCATTACTCTGCCGTCCTTCCTGAAGTCCCATCTTGTCCAAGGTATGCCAAGCAAACAGAATGTCTACTGATTTCAAAACACTACTGTTCAAAATTTTGATATCCCCGATATAAATTACAGCATGAATTGTACAGAAGAGTATCACTTGTATATCATTGGTTTATAACAAGTGTACAAGAGGTATATCCCAACACTACCCATTTCATAAGAGTGAGTGAGTGAGTTTGGTTTTACGCCGCTTTTAGCAATATTCCAGCAATATCACGGCGGGGGACACCAGAAATGGGCTTCACACATTGTACCCATGTCGGGAATCGAACCCGGGTCTTCGGCGTGACGAGCAAATGCTTTAACCACTAGGCTACCCGACCGCCCCCATTTCATAAGATAAAACAGGGAGTGGGGTAGCCTAGTGGTTAAAGCGTTTGTTCGTCACGCTGAAGACCCGGGTTCAATTCCATTCATGAGAACAGTGTGTGAAGCCCATTTCTGGTGTCCCCCCCCCTGGATATTGTTGGAATATTGCTAAAAGCAGCGTAAAACCACTCACTCACTCACTGTTCAAAACTAAGTCAACCTCTATCATGACATCTTCCCGAGGCAAAGGAGTTAACTGACTTTAAAAGTCCAGTTTCCACCCTTGCCGAACTAGGCTGGAATTACTGGGCTCGATCGAAGCGCCACCAGTGGCTATTACCAGTTATGTCCCTTCTAAGCCTCTCCTGTGGACTAATCAGATTCCATCTCTCGTATCACTTGCATTTGCTTCTCACAAAATGGTGGCGCCCAGTCAGGACTAATTGATAATCAAGATCTATATTGTGATAAAACCGGTCTTACATCGCGAAATGCATCGAATCACGTGAGCACTGTGATTAAAAACACGAAACGATTTGGAAGAAATCTAATGACAACGCAAATCCTGCAATCGACTGAAATCTGCACGACAGTTTACGAACTGGATTTCGATTTCGGTGCGCGAGTTTGATTGGACTATGCATAGACTCGTTAGTCCAGCCAAAATGTAACTCCTTAATACCAGCTTAGTTCGGCAAGGGTGGAAACTGGACTTTTATAGACAATTAACTCCCTTGCCTCGGGAAGATGCTATCATGAAGGTGTGAATTAAAGGCAGAAAAGATCCCCTAGACGCATATTTTTGTGTTAAGTGTCCAGTTGACATTGAATTCTCATACACACAATGAGTGAGTGAGTGAGTTGGGTTTTAGGCTGTTTTAGCAATACTCTAGCAGTGTCACAGCAGGGAACACAAGAAATGGTCTTCACACATTGTGTTTCCCCCTTGGCATACAACGGACATGACTTTAACAAAAGTAAAATTATATTTGGATTTACATGAACATTATTTTTGGCTAATGCTGAAATGCACTTTTCATAGTTACTGAATGTGAATAGTGTTTAATTAATAGTTGAATAGTTAAATCGTTTTAGATTCTAACTCAACTACTGCAACTATTACAGATGAGGGCCAACAAAGTTATCATGTTGAAACTTCAATACTTTAATGTACTCAGTTGTAAAGGTGCATTGACATGATAACAATAATAATATGCATTTTTAGGGTGACGTCAAAACCACATCCTAAAGCATGCTCAAAGTGCTACGCTATTACCAAGCTACCTATTATCCTCGTCAATGGATCAGTGTGGACTCAAATTCCATTCTCAGCACCCTGGGGTGTATGCAATCTCATTAAAATCAGATCTTAGTTCTCACTACCACTAAACAAAGATCTGAGGACATCCCATTACGGGTCACGTCAGACCGACCTTGCACGAACTTTGACCGACCAATGGAATGACCAATCAGAAGGCAGCTTTCTCATGCTTTACGGCACTAATTTCAAATTGGCGACAATGCTTCGAAACATATTTTGACAAATTCTCGATTAAAAATTTGAAACCAGAACAAAAGAACATTCTGGAATCGCTAATAGATGGACTAGATTGTATGGATTCAATCGTTAAACCCGTAACTATCGTTCGGAACACCCCGTGTTAAAGTTTCCGAGGATGCATGATCAGAAATCACATTCCAACTGTCATTTTCATGATCTGGTAAGCGATGCTCTGATTGGTCAGATGAAAGGTCGTTCTGACGTGACCTCTCCTGGTATGTCCTCAGATGTTTGTTTAGCGGTAGCGAGAACTAAGATCTTATTTAAATGAGATTGGGGTGTATGCAACTCAAGCTGCCTAATGAGGTGCTTGAAGGTAACATGCACATTATCTCATCCTACCGGATACCCATATTCACTGCTGGGTAAATAGAGGCGTGTTTGAACAAAGTCTCACCAGATGTAACATATGCATACAGTGACTGTCATGAAGCAGATTCTAGAGCAACCAAATAAGCAGAATGATACTTTAGTTTAGTCACCACAACGCCCATCTTTGTCATTACTTGAAACCAGATGACAAGAATCTACATGCACAAACATACAAGTAGAACATTTCCCCTGAATCATTATACACAGATGAAGTGATCCTTACGTTTATTTCCCACAGAGTTAGATATACCCAAGTTAATTAATATCGTATGTGCACTGGTGCAAATATCACTTCACGCACTGTTTACGTCATATGGACGTCATTTTTTACGTCATTCAAATGTTATTTTAACCTAAAGTTGGAATGACCTCACTCTAGAAGCGACGTCATAGCAAGTGATTTTTGAGGTCATTCAACAGATGTGGTTTTCTAAGATGGCGGTCGTGATCTGTGCATTTTTTTAAAGGGATCTCAAAAGGATTTTGAAGTAATGGGTGATAAAGACAATATTACACTTTCATATGTGTCAAACTGATTTTACAAAATTCATGTATTACCCTTGATTTCACTCGGAAAATGCAAGAATTCTGACATTCATGTTCGTAAAATCCTGTAATAATCTCTATTAATTTACTCGGAAAGGAAATAGTTATTCAAATATTGGCCAAAGTCCATAGACCCAATTAAAGGGAATCGAGTGGTCTTTTGACGTGGTTTATTGATTGTCACCGTGCCTCATGTTGTTGTTTATTGTTTAGCGCCACACTCAGCAATATTCCAGCTATATGATGGCAGTCTCTCAATAATCGAGTCTGGACCAGACAGTCCCTTGACTGACATCGTGAGCGTCAATCTACGCAGTTGGGATATGATGACATGCATCAACCAAGTCCTAGAGTCTGATCCCGTTAGTTGCCTCTTACGGCAAGCATGGGTTGCTGAAGAAGTTTACTGCAGTGTTAAGCAATGATTATGTTTGCTAGCTTTAATTCACTTATGTTTCATTTGTGGTAGCATAGACGTTCGGGCTATTGTGAGTTATCACATTTAGTAGTAAATAAGTATTGCTTTAAAATGACTCATCAAGTCGTATATTTACCCATAAAATGGACGTCACTCACCCATATTTGTTTTCAGAGATATATTTTGTTTCAGAGTCAAGTTTGCCAATCTATATTGCTGGAATCGAACCAAATCCTGTTGGCCGAAAATGGCTTATTGACAAGGTTAAAGCTCAGCATATTTGGTTCAAACTGCTGGAGAGGTCACGTGATCCCGAGAGACTGGATTGTGTAGTCTCCATTAGGAAGGTATGAATGCCAAGAATTATTATCTAAATGTTTATGTAGAGAATGCATTGAATTTGAAGGAATGTATGATGTTTTTGTTTGTTGTTTAACGCCGCACTCAGCAATATTTCAGCTATATGACGGCGGCCTGTAAATAATCGTGTCTGGACCAGACAATCCAGTGATTGACATCATGAGAAACGATCCACGCAATTGGGATCAATGACATGCATCAACCAAGTCAGCGAGCCTGACCACCCGATCCCGTTAGTTGCTTCTTACGACACGCATAGTCGCCTTTTATGGCAAGCATGGGTTGCTGAAGACCTATTCTACTCCCCATGATGTAGTGACCTTTGAAATGTCAATCGTTTCCATTTCTGGAACCACCTCAAAGATAGCTCTGAGTTATTTTATTTCTGCCCTTTTGAAATACGAGTTTTGGTTGCTTGTTTTTTAACACCGGTCTAAGCAATAGTCAACCTGTGTGATGGCCGTCTGTAAATAGTAAGTCTGGACAAGACAATCCAGTGACTGACATCACGAGCATCGATCTACGTAATTGGGATACGTTGACATGCATCAACCAAGTCAGCGAGTCTGACCACTCGATCGCTTTAGTTGCCTCTTACGACAAGCATAGTCACCTTATACAGCAAGAATGGGTTGCTGAAGACCTATTCTAACCCAGATCTTCACGGGTGGAAATACGAGTAAAATGTCGATCTTGTTTAATTTTGTGTATCCCTGTTTTTGCGTACACCCCTTAAGTAACTGTGACAGAATCTCACCTCCACATACTTAAATAGAGCATTTTTGCAATAAGTGTCTTGAGTCATTCAATATGGAATTGCTAGAGGCATTTTTACATTAAAATGTACATTTGTTTAAGTAAATTAAAGCTGCAAAAAACATTTCCATAATCATCAGAAATCCATCATCCATTGTGCTACTTTATCATGAATCAATATCAAATATTGATGATATTGAGTTTGTGAAAAAGTGAGCTTATCCTGCCACACCGGTGGCATCCGTCACAAACACATGCAAAGGCAAATCAAGTGTTCACCTGAAAAGAAATGGGAACGTATACAAGTCAAAACAGGGAATTGCATCGGACTTAATTTTTGTCACGGATGCTTGCAATTTGGAAATGTCCACCACATGTCTACCAGAAGACTTTTTGAAAACTTTGCTGAGGCCTTGAAGGTTGTAACACTAAATATAGAACCTCTGAGTAAGAGTGGTAGGACGTTCTTTGAAATCTTCGTAAAAACCACACACTCGATTTTACCTCAAAAGTTATGAAATGTCGACAAAAGGTCCTGGAATATTGCTCAACATGATGGGGAACTTGACTTTTGGAAAGTTGATTGAGTGAGTGAGTTTGCTTTTAGCAATATTCCCGCAATGTCACGGCGAGGGACACCAGAAATTAGCTTTCACCCATTGTACCCATGTCGGGAATCGAACCCGGGTCTTGGGAGTGACGAGCGAACATTTTGACCACTAAGCTACCCGCCCCTTTGGAAAGTTGATGTCATCCCTCTCGTTATACAGTCCTGTGGAGAAAAGAAAGGCTCTAATTCCAAACTCCATTTTACATATTTACACTAATATTTTGGAGTATTTTATGGTTGACAGTTGTGAGGAAGCTGAAATATTGCTGACAGGGGTAAGTCAGTCTTTAATTACCGTGTCCTTGCCACTTTCAGCTTCCCTCTTTTCAAAGTCTCTGTTTTGCTTGACATTGACTCGATTATTTCAAAGGTCGCTTTGATGGCTGGAATATTGCGCATGTGACATAAGAAAGAAACAAACCCTCTGATAATATGCTTTTGTGTTGCCAGCGGTTCCTGTTCAAGGTCGTCATTAATGAAGAGCTGATACGTCTCGGCCTGTGTCGCCTGCGTGATTATCCAACTCCCCCCGTTGCGCCAGTCTACAATCACGTGATCAACAAATTGGTTGCCATAGAAGCCAAGTTAGACCGGAAGCAGTCCCCCACCAGAGTCAGAAGTGCTGCACGGACAGTAAAGGATGTTCTTGTGTACCTTGTGACGTTTCCGAAGACCTTGCTGACATATTTGTCAAAGTTTAGAAGAAAATAAGATCGTTTTTTCACAAATATTGGATCACAGTTTTTGTAAACAATTTCAGTGATGTTACCTACTTTCTTCTGAGGATAACTTTTGTTCTTGGTCAGTTTTTTGTTTTATGTGTTCGGTGCTTTTGGTAACATCACTGTGTACTTGTATATACAATAGAACAGAGTGACGTTTTGTTGCTGTGATCTGAAACTCGCTTGTGCTTTTCATGATTTGCTGTTTGCCATGACTGTTATGTTGTTAAGGTATTCAGAGCACAATTAAATAAAATGAATATTTATACACGTATCATAATGTTCCGTAATGATTAGATCTGCTGAAGATTTAGTTTTGTGGGATGGTATTTCGTTCCAGTGCACACCTCATTCCAGTGTATATGCCTCACTCCGTAGAGACACAAGACCACCTCCAAGGTCTAGTGGTAGAGCGGAAGGTCGGGGGTTTGATCCCCAGGCAGCATCATACATACCAAAAGATGTTAAAGGATGGTACTGGTGCTCAGCATTAAGGGTCTAAAACAAGGACTGGTCAGCTCGGAGTCAGAATACTCTGTCTGAGTGGGGTATTCATGTTAAACTGCGGCATGGTATCTCAGTGAGCTAGCACTTTAAATCGGCAGTCCGGACTAGTACAAGCAGCCACACACACGTACACGTACATGCACGCCGCTATATAAGTGCAATATTCTTGGAGGCAATGTTGTTACCCTGCCTGGTGTTCGGCATCAAGAGGCTAAAACAAGAACAAGGCTCAGAGTTAGTATGTTGTGCAAGCAGTACCAGCAGCTCCACACACATGCATTTACGCCAACTTATAAGTGCAATAATATTGAAAGAGACGTTAAACCCCATTTCACCTCGACTCACCTCACGCCATGTATGAGACAGCCTCCGTGGTCTAGTGGTAGAGCATCCGCCCAGAGAGCAAAAGGTCCGAGGTTCGATCCTCGCCCGCATCATACCAAAAGACGTTAAAAGATGGCACTTGTTGTTACCCTGCCTGACACTCGGCATTAAGGGTCTAAAACAAGGACTGGTCGGCTCGGAGTCAGTATACTGTGTCTGAGTGGGGTATTCATGTTAAACTGCGGCATGGTATCTCAGTGAGCTAGCACTATAAATCCGCATCAGTCCGGACTAGTACAAGCAGCCACACAAACACACACACGTACATGCACGTCGCTATATAAGTGCAGTAATCTTGGACGCGACGTTAAACCCCATTTCACCTCACCTCATATCTGCGAGATGCCGTTCATTTAGGTCTTTAAATAATCTTTACAGAGTTACTTCCCTTATACCGTTACGTTGCTAAACGCTTACCTGCAACTTTAAAGTTGAAACTTTCGAAAGATTGCCAAGAAAATGAGGGGAAAACACCTTTTAATACTTAACTTAATAATTATTCTCCTCAGTGCAGATCTGCATGCGCACGAGACATCATGCTGATCCCCGATACATATATAATCACTGTCACGTTGTATCTGGAAATAGGAAGGACCAACAGAGGTCAATGTCCCATAAACAGTTTTGTCCCATGATGAATCGTGTTATTGAGACAATAAACTAGTACCATGAACTACGTATAACGATCTGGTGAGTATACCACTGAGGTCACATACGAGGAAGTAACGTACACGGATGAGATTTCTAAGTGCTCGAAACAAGAACTGCCCGGAGATTTGTCTCTCAACGTGTGGGTGTGTCTCTCCGTCAAATCTTTAAACACCCAGTGATAAATGGGGCACCTCACTCAGAAATTGTATTCATGCACGGTTTCCTGTAATTTTGGAGAATTAAATTGCGTCTTATACGAAATTATTTTTAAAATATGTGGCTCGCAATATATATTTTTAACTTTATTCCTAATATTTTATTTATTCATATTACAATTTGGGGAATATTTGTTATACTGACACGTGTTTCCACAAGTTTTATCAACTTTGAACCAGGCTTCGAGTACCAGTACAAATACGACGCTAACGCAAATCTGAAACATATCGGTGAATTTCAAGTCTTAGCGAAGGTGAGTTACTAGTATTAACTCTATTACTGTATCCTTTGCATTGAATTTTTCTATGAACAAAAGAATTCATCACACGTAACTCCACACCATGATATGTAACTATAACAGATATGATTCATTAACTCTGGTCGCCATTGTGGAATTCAAATTGAAATCAGCCCATAGCACACTGAAGCATATGTCCAGTCAATCGAAGTGAAGCATCTCAGAAGGGTTAATTACAGAACTCCCAAAACCAGAAACTAGGAGTTAAACCTTCAAAATGTTTAGATTTTGAGGTAAGTTATCAGCCATTTGATACCTCTTAATCTATGGCGTTAAATACAGTAGTCATGAATGAAAGTTGCAAACAGACCACAGTGCAGATATATACTCGTATGTTGCAGATCCTTTGAAAAGGGAATTTCAACACACATGTAACATTCGTTACCCATGAAGATCTGGGGTAGAATAGGTCTTCAGCAACCCATGCTTGCCGTGAAAGGCGACTATGCTTGTCGTAAGAGGCGACTAACGGGATCGGGTTGTCAGGCTCGCTGACTTGGTTAATGCATGTCGTGGATCCCAATTGCGTGGATTGATACTCATGATGTCAATCACTGGATTTTCTGGTTCTGACTCGATTATTTACAGACCGACGTCATAGAGCTGGAACATTGCTGAGTGCGGCGTTAAACAACAAACAAACGAGTAATGATCTTAAATATATGTCAGCTCATTCTTTTTTCGACCAGTTCCGTAGAGAACAAAGTCGGATATACTGAATATAATTTCTATCATATATTCTAATGGCAGATATATCAATATCATTACTCAACTAATGACAAACTTCGGATATACCGAACTGAACTGAACTGTGTTCGTGACATCCGCTGTTGACTGTTTTTAACGCATGGACAATACACATGTCATTGCTACTGGTTGTGGCAACGTTGGTAAGCAGAATACATGGGTCAAATTTGCCTTCAAGAAATCAGTTTCAGGGCTTTTATCCACCCACAATTCAAAGTGAACGAAGCACTAGTTATATGGGGTAGACATGTGACTTGCTCCAACAATATATCGAGTCCCATTAATATCGCTCACTATTCTTGTTTAGGCTCTCCTCCGTACGTGAATTTAGGTAATTGAAAAGACGAATACACTGCATTGGTGACACAGCAAACTTGAAAGGTGGATAAGCGGTAACATTCAACATGTGACCTATAAACGCGTCTATACAACACACTGTATGTATACAAATTTGATCAGTGGAAGGTTGAATAACACTTCTATAAAGAAAGTCGTGCTCTGCCCTAAGCTTCCTTGTTCCGTCAGTCAATTTCATGTATGGGAGTCATGTCGGATCTGGCTACATGATAGAGCAGTGAAACACATCTTTGGATTTCAGTTTATTCCTGTAAAATGTCTGGAAATTATTTTCCGACAATTTGGGGAATATTTGTTATACTGACACGTGTTTCCACAAGTTTTATCAACTTTCAACCAGGCTTCGAGTACCAGTACAAATACGACGCTAACGCAAATCTGAAACATATCGGTGAATTTCAAGTCTTAGCCAAGGTGAGTTACTAGTATTAATTCTTTTACTGTATCCTTGAAAATGCATTGAACGTTTCTGTGAACAAAACAACGCATCACACGCAACTGTATTTAAAAGATCATACGCAGAGTTTGAATGTTTTCCGCCTCTGTGGACGAGTGGACGAGTGAGTGAGTGAGTGGGTGGACGAGTGAGTGAGTGAGGGTGTAACGACGCCACTAAATGACATGACAGGAATTCACCCTGCATTAAGTTCACACACCACCCTCCCCGACTTTATTTCACTCATAATCGCCAAGCAGTGAGTGAGTTGAGTTTAACGCCGCTTTTAACAATGTTCCAGTTATATCGCGGCGTGTCAGCTTAATGTGGGATGAAAGCCCGCAGTGATGCAGGTCTCAGACGTTTACCACTTCGGTGAAACCCATGTATGGTGCTGACAAACCTAGACACATTATCGGGGCGAATCGGGATTCGAACCCACAATCATAGGTTTCTGGCGTGCCCAAGGCACGCAACTCTGCACAGCGAATCGCGGCGCATTAGACGACTGGGCCACCCGTGCCCCCACAGTGACACAATAGGGGATCAAAATAACAGGCTGAAGTTTCGAAAATAATCAATGTAGACATATTATTTCGTGGAGATATCGAACGGAAAACAGCGCTACCATTAATGATATAACAAACAGAAACTTAATGGGCTTCGTATGTTTTTGTAAAAAATAATGTCTTCAAGAAAAAATCTGGACAAAAATATTTTTGCAACAAGGTTTAAAAAATACGGACATGCGGATCACCCTGAAAAACGTGTTCTGCTTCTCCTGTCACAGGAAAAATGACTGACAAAATATTTTGACTATAATATCCCAGCTTCCCGTTTGTTGGAAAGTAGTCTAGCCAATGTTCAACATTGATATGTTGTTATAATATTGATAAATTCTTTTATCATACACCTAACAATGATATGAGGCATTTTTCATGTGGGATAGAGCCAACATGGAGACGGTCATATCATAGGGCTGTAATTACCAGACCCGTATTATTCGCTGCCGGGCTGATATGGCTTGTCAAAGCATATTGAATGGGCGATGGATATCAGTTCAGGTGGTAGGAAATTTGAGTTACGTCCCTTTGTCTGTCGTCTGCTCGTCACCTCGGCCAGCTTACCCGTGACAATGACTTCCAAACTAGGTGAAACGTCATCACATTCACTTGCAAGAAGATGCATTTTACAATTTGATGTTATGAGACATGATAAAAAGGTTATAATGTGTCAGTTTTTACACCACACCCCACACCAACCCTATGGCTAGGCTTGCTCCTAGGCTGTACTGAATGGCAAGTCCATGGATGTAAAATAATTCTTTCTGCTAATCGGAAAGTCGCTATCCTTTTATAGAGACAACTTGTTATTATTATTTATTTACTCTAGAAATTATGATTTGAGCTAATAATCATCGGCTTAGAGACTTGTACAAGTCTACACTCTGGCCTTCGACCCTCGGGCTGATAAGGAGGTATCAGCTTGAATACTGACATAATACCCTTAAAATATCTGCCCCACTGCGGATATGAATGGCCATATATAATGCACATTCTTTACGAATAAAACCAGGCATGCGTGGCTTAACCCTCCCATGCGTGTTTATTGGGGCGTGAACAAGTCATGGTGATTCATAGGACCATACATTCAATCTTCCCCTAAATACCCGGAAGTT